ACCAATCAAACTCTTGTTGAGGAACATGTGACCAAGAGAAGATGTTGAGTTTCTGACTTGAGTTCATGTAGTTTCTGAGAATGGCCCTTAGTTTGAGCCAAGTTTTAAATGTTGGCACCCTTTTGTAAGTGAGTTTGACAGGAAGGGAAAGTAAAAGCGTTATTTCTCAAATTATGAAGCATACAACTCAGATTACAGATGTAATCAAGTAAAGTGTACCTGAGCTGCTTTTATGGTTTAGTAAAGTTAAAGTTTTAGGTATTAGGTATACAGTAGTTGTTTATCGCGTGTGTTGGGTGAAAAACCATGAAGTAGAGATAGTAGTTCAAGTTAACTTTGTCACTATCTCATGTAGTACATGAACAAAATGATGTGCACAAGTAGTAGTAGTTTATTTTAGCATTTATCTATTAAGGCATTTTAAACCCTTCCCACACTCTTGCAGTGTTCCTAACAATTTTCTAAACAAACCTTTTAAAAAGTATTAATTTTAAATTGGTACTCACCAGAGAAGATGAAATGGAGATGAAGAATTAGCTGTCCATTGATGACGATGATGCCGGTTCAGCAGACCTACCCTGCAGCAATGAAGCCCACAATGTTCTAAACTCTTAAACCTACGTAATTTTAACATGCGTATATGTACTGTACAGTAACTACTGCAAAATTTTATATGGAGCCTTGGTCTGGTTCTGGTCCGGTTCTGATCGGCTCTTTGCAGCCACTGAGCACCAAAGTTACTATGATTAGGGACTGAACTTTTTTGATAGGTTCAGATCGGATCAAAACTTTCCCTCCATTTTTGGCAGAAAGCAGTGCCTGGAAGCAGTGTTGCCTTCTGGGTAGTGTAGTTCTTTGACTGGCCTTACAGTATAGGCTTATTGAAAGAAAACTACAAAATGGCGATACCCGTCCAAGGTATTTTTTTCCGCTAACTTTTTATTACGTGTCGTCCCAATCATGCGAGTAATATTAAAGTTGACAGTCGTTGAAAAACCGCGAAAGAGCGAGTCCGCTGAAGTCGAACCGCCAAGTAGTGAGGGACTACTGTACACTCAGTCTGAGCAAACAATAAGTTTTCTGTCTGAGTTATGTGTGAGTCTTTGATTTCATAGCTTGTTGTTTGATCCTGATAAATCTGTGATCGTTTGAGGTCCCTTTTCACAACTTACTAATGACCAGAGTTCAGGCCTGGTCACTTTAACCAATCTTTCTGCTGAACCGCAACAGCTTTACTCAGATTCTGACCGTTGTGTTGTAATGAACATGTGTCCCTCTCCCCTCCAGTCTAAGAGGCGCTCCCAGGGTCTTTCCCTCGACACGGTCTACCACTGTCTGAACCGAACGGTGCTCTATCAGCTCTGCCGACCCCACAAGACGGTAGCTCAGCAGGTGGCCCTGCTGGATTCCCTGCGGGTCCTGACAGTCAACCGCAACCTGGTGCTCGGCCCGGGCAATCACGACCAGGACTTTGTGGCCTGTTTGGCTCACTGCTTCATCTGTCTGCACAGCGGGAGGTAAGGATGCATGAAAACGTGAGCAGTTTAAGCTTCTGATGGTCTTAAAGTATGACCCCCCAAGCTGATTCATCGTGTAGGGACAGGACACACACTGACTGGAGAGACCGTTGTAACAAATGAACAGAGTAAGAACACAAACCACAACAATACTAGACGTTAGCCATAGCTCGGTTTATGCATGTTGTTCTTAAAAGCTGAAGGCCCTAAAAAGTAAGAAACTAAACTACAACATACTTCAAACTTTAAGGAATTTTTTTATACATCTACCGTACGTAAAAACAAATCCCAGAAGGCATTATGGAATAATGTTTCCTGTTAAACTTATGAGTTCATGTGTCATAAAAACTAAAATGGGATGAGAGGAAAAACCTTGGAGGACAATTTTTCTTAAAAGATTATCACTTAAAACTCAACAGTTTTATGAATGTGACGCTTTCAGTGTATTTTATTCTGAAACAACTTTATATTTTTAAACTCAGAAGACTCATAGTTGGGAAGACATTTTTTTATTTCATTGCCTTGTTGTTTGTACGAGCTGACTGAGATGAGCGTTTTACTGTAGGACTTCACTGATCAAACCTGAATTAAAAAGTTACCAACCTTTTTATGTTTTGTCTTTCGTTGCTAAATGTTTAACATTTAACTTGGCGAGATATTTTTACATGAAAGACCCAGCTAATTTTTGTTTTCAAAATCTTCAGCGAAACAATCAAACTGCACTCGTACCTCTGCAGGACGTGTCGGTACGATGTTGTGTGTTTGTGTCTGCAGTAGTGTGGAGGGCTTCGGTCTGGAGGCGGAGGCCAGGATGACAACCTGGCATGTGATGATGTCCACGGAGAACGAAAATGACTCCACGCACAGCCACGATGTTAGCGAGGGTAAGAGGCAACGCGCGCTCGTGTGTGGGTTTGATGCAGCAGCGTTGACCGTTTGTGTGTCCAATATTTTATTAGTCATCTTTATAAAAACACGTTTTAGCTCTTACCATGAGTTTGAGCTCGTCTTGCATAAAACTCTTACTTTGAAGTGGACAAATTACCTTTTCTGTGAAAATGGAGTGATGTCACTGAGCGTTCATATTAGCTGAAACTGAGTTTTTAAGTCTAAACCAAGAACACTAGCTGAAAGGTCAAAGTATTAAAAAAAATTCAAAGCTTAAATAAACAAAACGGTCGGTAGAAGTTCCATCCATCCATTTTCTTTACCCGCTTATTCCATTTTGGGTCACGGGGGTCGCTGGTGCCCATGTCCAGCAATCACTGTGCGAGGGGCGGGGTACACCCTGGACGGGTCGCAAGTCCATCACAGGGACACATAGAGACAAACGAGACAAACAACCATTCACTCTCTCACTCACACCTAGGGACAATTTAGAGTTACCAATCAGCCTAACATGCATGTTTTTGGACTGTGGGAGGAAACCGGAGTACCCGGAGAAAACCCACGCATGCACGGAGAGAACATGCAAACTCCACCCAGAATGGCCCCTGGACCGGGGTTTGAACCAGGGACCTGCTCGCTGAGAGGCAGCAGCTCTACCAGTTGCGCCACCGTGCTGCCCTCGGTAGAAGTTAAAAGTAACAAAAGGCTAGCTAAATGCTAAAAAAGGCAAAGTATGAGCTAAAAGCAGCAAAGGACTACAGTAACTAAAATCAGACTAATGAAGCTAAAACTATCAAAATGTTGGCATGCAGCTAAACATAGCAAAAGTCTAGCTAGAACCTAAAATGAGGTAAAAGCTAGTTAAAAGTAGCAGAATGTTAGCTAAAAGTTTAAAGTAGCTGAAGAGTAACTAAAAGCTAAAAGTAGCTTAAGAAGACAAAAATCAAGGAGAATTTCTGTCAGAATTTAAAGAGAACTGTGTTTTTAATAGGAATCTAACAAACCCCAGTGTATTTTCATAAAGAAATGTTTGTAAGTAAAGTTAAATATTTGGAAAATTACAAAACTACAAAAAGCAAAGGTCAAGCAGCAGTCTCCTGAATGAGCCGACTGTTTGGATATGTAAACAGCTAAAATAGCAGAAATAGATTGCAAAAATATAGAGTAAAATTAAGAGGAAATCAATTATGTGAAATGCTAAATCGGTATTCGCACAAAACGTGTGTTCGTTTCAACAAATTAAGATCCTGCACAAGACGAAATAAAGTTGGCGTTGGCTGTTGTAGAAGTTAAAATCTGTTTCCTGTCACGTCAGTGAATCAGACCGGCTTGTTTCTGTCCAACGCTGCAGGACGGCAGCTGCTGCTGAAGGCTGTGAACCGCGTGTGGACGGAACTGATGCACAGCAAGCGTCAGATGCTGGAGGACATCTTCAAAGTGTCTCTGCCCTGCAATGACAGGGGACACGTGGACATCGCCACGGCTCGGCCCGCTCTGGAGGAGCCCGCTCTGAAAAGCTGGCAGAACCATCTGGGTGAGCAGAGACTGAACTTTAAAGACTTCCTGAACCTGAACGTTTCCTCAGCCAGACTTTCTGACTGTTTGGATTGTGTAGTTAGGAGTTAAAACAGTTTGGGAGCTCATTTTACTCACTGGATCAGTGTTTTAATCGATTACTAACAAAGAACTTACAGAGACACGATCTGTTTGCAGAACCGTTGGCATGGAACCAGATGTTGTTGGGCTTTCTCTCTAAATTTGCAAAATCTTGTTTAGCAGATTCAGGAAGTCTTTCCTGTTATTAGCACCATTTTTGTAGCAAGTAATCAAAATAAAACCTGTTTTGTGGATTTATCAGCATTAAAAGGGCATTTAAAATATAAAAACTAATTCTGAACCTTTTTGTTTGTCTGATGGAAAGTTGAAGTAACATTTAATGGTGAGACATTAGTCTAGTTTTAATAATAAATGTTTAAGTCCGGTCACAAATCATAATAATACTACACTTTAAGGGATACTGGTCGAAACCTCAGAGATGTTTCTCTTCTTCTCTATTCCCATTTCTATAATGAGCATTGTCATGACAGATGTGCGGCTCACATGAAAGGGATTTTCAAAACCTCTAGAGTCCAAAACTTTATTTGTTTTTACCCCATTCACTGCTAAATTTATTCCTTTTGTAAACTTTTATCTTTTTTCTCCCCTGCTTCCTCAGTGTTAAAATAAAATCACTTAAAAAATTGGGATTTATTTTTTTTTCTGCCTTTTCTGTGGTTCAGCTCACGAGAAAAAGTGCATCAGTCGTGGCGAAGCTCCGGCACCGACCGCCCAGTCCAAGCTGTCCAGGGTCAGCAGCGGCTTCGGCCTCTCCAAGCTGACGGGTGTTCGTCGCAACAAGAAGGAGAACAACCTGAACAAGAACAGTCCGACCGCGCAGGTAAACAGGAAACCACCTGGCAAGTCTCAAACTGCACATTACTCATCTCTGTTTTGTTACAGTCTCGTATTTCTGACCCAACAGGAAACATTTCAGTGGATGTTCACACACATTGCGGTGGTTCGAGACCTGGTGGCCATGCAGTATAAGGAATATCAAGAGGTACCACACTTCCTTACTCACCATGGAGGCACAAAGAACACATACTACTTCTGCATACCTCATGCTATTTTAGTTACTTATATATCAAAACGTTCAGCCCATCCAGGTGATGGTTGCTGTGACTTTTGTTTCTTGTAACTTTTATAAATTTCAAAATATTTAACTTTATTTACAAATATTTCCCCACATTGACATCTTTCTAATTCATTCAAAAACTTGTTCTCTTTTAAATCTGCTTGATCAAATTGGCTCTTTTTATGCTACTTTTAGCTAGCCTTTTGCTTCTTTAGCTTCAAGCTACCATTTAGCTACTTTTAGCTTTTAGCTAGCGTTTTACTGTCTAACTTTTAACTAGTGTTTTGCAAATTTTAATTAGCGTTTTGCTCAATTGAGCCAGGATTGTGCTTGTTTTACTAAGCGTTTTTGCTCATATTAGCTTTCGTTTAGCATTTTGCTTGTTTTGGCCATTTGCTAGCATTTTAAGTCTTAGCTTTTATCTAGTGTTCTGCGTTTTTAGCTTTCACAACTTAGTTTCAGCAAATGTCAGCAAAGTCATTCAGCCTCCAGCATTTAGTTCAAAGCAGTCTTTTGAAAAGTGACATCATCGTGCTCCATCCTTTTCCTCTGTCTCGCAGCGACAGCAGAACGTCCTGAAGTACGTGACCGAAGAGTGGGCGGCCATCGAATACGAGCTGCTGCGCGAGCGGGGCCTCTGGGGCCCGCCCATCGGTTCCCACCTGGACAAGTTTACCCTGGAGATGACGGAGGGGCCCTGCCGGATGAGGAAGAAGATGGTCCGCAACGACATGTTCTACATCCACTACCCGTACATCCCTGAGGCCGAGACGAACACCAACCCAGCACAGGTAGTTTTAAATCTGAAAGGAATCTCATTATTTTAGCTAATCTAAAGGGAGCTGTAGAACATATTTCTTTCTATAATGAGATAAAAAATGAAAAGGTTGGGACATACTTTAGGGTCCGTTCAGTAAAACATTATTCATAACTCTGATTTTTCCTGTTTATTTAGATTTATTTGCCTTTTCTGTCTGACTTTACTGACAGCTCCTTTACAGGTTTTTAATTCAGCTGATGTTTTCTGTGAGGTTAAAAGATACAATAGTGTAAAAACTCTGGTTCTGTCCTGAAATAAAGACCCTGGATGGGCTTCAGTCACGTGACGCAGTGAAACCAGCAGTTCAAATCTCTTTCCCCAGCGTTTTCCACTCTGATTGAAAGTCAGACTTTTTTTTTCTACTCCATGAAGGAAGAGCAATACCTAAAATGTATTAATTTCTACAACACAAGTTTATCCATTTTAATATTTTAAGTATTTAGTGGTCGTATAAACGCAAAATTTATTAAAGTTGTAGACGGTTTCACTCCAAAACAAGAACAAGAAGGGTTAAGATAAATCAATGTTCTTTAACGAACTTTAACAAAATCAAAGACATTATAATAGACTAAAAATGCTGAGTGCTAAATTACTGAATCTAAAAGGTGAAACTACATTTATTTAAGATAAAAAGCAAAAATACTAGCTAAAAGCCAAAAGGATCAAATGGCTAGCTAAAAGCTTATTAGTAAAGGGATTGCTAAAGTATCAAAAAATTTGCCAGAAGCCAAAAGTAGAAAAAAACAACAAGTAGTCAACAGCTTAAAGTAGCAAAATGCTATTTACAACCAGCAAAATGTCAGCTTAATGTTAAAAGTAGCAAAAGGTTAGATAAAAGTAGCAGAACGAAAGCTGAACTGTTAAATTTGCATAATAATACAAAAGTAAATCGATTATGCTGAAGTAGATTTTGATGTATTTCTTTGGGGAAGATATTTGTAATTTGTTAAATCTTTTAAAACTTATAAATGTTGCAAAAAAGAAAAGTCATAGCATCCATCTGCTGAAGGAGCCGAACATTTTGATTCATACATGGCTAAAGTAACACCATGTGTGCAGAAGTTGTTCAGTTGCAAATGATGCAGAGGGAAAAAGCAGAAAACAACATTCTCACTTTTAGCCATCCTTCCTTCCCCCTCACTTAAAGATGCCCCACATGGAGGCTTTTGAAAACAATTTTATGGACTCTTAATAAAAAAAAAAAATTAAAAAGCACAATACTCTCCTTCTGATGAGAATGTATCTTCTTCGTGGTCTCTACGTGAGCTGGTATAATTAAATTCAAAGTCTCCAAGGTCCTGTCCTTGATGCATAAATTAGTCGTGCTCGAGGAGTTTGCACGCTGCCGGGTGACGTTTAGCTCTTGAATGTTGCTGCTTCTCATTTGCTCCTGGTCTTAAAGCGTTTTAGGCTCTTTAGTTTCATCTTCATTACTTTGCTCAGTGCCACATGTAGCTGCTGCAGGCAACTGACTGTCAATTAAAAGAGACGTTTTTACGGTTTTGGTCTAAAGGTAAAGAAATCTATTCCTTAATAATCTAAAGTAGCTGTCAGGTCCTCTGGATTCATATGATGAAGATGTTCACATCCTTGATAGAGAGGAACGTTGATTTGAGAGAGGAGTGAAGAAGGCCATCTTTGTGAAGAGAAATCATCCATCATTAAAAAGGGGCGGAGCCTCCATGCCCAACTGTCCCCCTCTTACACTGCTGTTATTGCCAGTATCACTCAGCCCCCTGTGAATAGAAAACAGCCATCAGGGCACTAACAATCGATTGTTAGGCTGATGGTCCAGCTGGTTCTGGATGTCAACAACAAACTGGTTGATCCACTATGAGAAGGTGCTTTTTATAAGACTGAGTTTGTTGCAGCTCCTCAGACTGAAGAAGTCTTTTGGATAAAAAATGAAACGTTTCAACAGGAAGAATCCGTCCAGAGGACCTGATTTTACTTTTTTTAGATGTTTCTGGCTGGATTATTGAGCATGCATCAGGATATTCCTTACTAAATTAATTATTCAGATATTTTTATTTGCTTTAGAAATGCAGCCTTATAAAAAGAAAATATCACCAGTTTTGTCCCATAAATGCTTTATAGCAAATTGTGCAAACGCTGTTGCTGCTTCTTTTGGTTTCTGAACTTTTAGACAGATGAGTTTTTGTTAAAACGATAGATTTTTCCAAACAACAGTCTCATCCTTCCTCTCTCCAGCCCTCCTCCTCCCCTATGATGTCCCTACTCCCTTCAGCTCATGTTTGGGTCTTTGACCCTTCCCAGGTATTTTCCTGAAGTCCACAGTTCTTCAGCTCAGTTCTTTCTGCTGCGACTGCATGAAAGTAACAGACATGTTTAAAAAGCATCACATGAACCGTAACTAAACTAACCACGGCTGAAAGTTCTCTCCAGCAGCTTTCCCTTTGTGCATGCAAGTGACGATATTTGTGTCCCGTCGTTCGTCCCTGCTGCCGTGTCAGTTTCAACATTATAATTCTCTCACAGGAACAGATGCATTAATATCACAAAGATCTGATGAGTCTTCTGCTGTTTAGTTGAATTGGTTAAAAATGACTAACTGCAGCATGATTCAGACAAAAATATCTAAAAAGTCAAAGAAAAAAGCAGGTTTTAATAAAATACAAATATAAGACAGGCTGTTGTTGTTTTGTCTTAACCATCTTGGAGTCCCACATCTTCTCATGACGCTCTCTTCCTCCCCCAGAAGCCCCTGCGTTACCGCCGCGCCATCAGCTACGACAGTAAGGAATACTACATGCGTTTGTTGTCGGGGAACCCGGGCATGTACCAGCACTCAGTGGAGCACAACACGGAGGGAGAGACCACGCAACACGAGCCGGAGCACGGAGAGGACACCATCGCAAGGGTCAAAGGTGAGAAGACTTGTGCAGTTTGAGGCTGTTCAGAATCCGTTCTGGGCGATTTGGCTGAAAATGGTCAGTTCTTTGTGGTGAAATGTGGACCCAAATACCAAACTCACCTATTTAACATCCTCTGTTGAATCAAATCTGGACAAAACTAAAATTAAATATTGAGAGAGGACTTCAATAAACAGTTCATTAAAACATTTAGCTGAAAAAACTAAATGTATGTGTCCAGGATATTCCCAAGGATTGTTGTGTAGTTATCTTAAATATCTGATTTCTTTTTCTTTGTTTTTACCCTCCACTCTGCTGCTCGTGTGAGGTCACGTCAGTTCATCAGGAGGTCCTTCTGCTTGGCTCTCCATGGATTATTTGTGGATAAAAAAGGTCTAGACCACTTTGGTGCAAAGATGGCCTGAGAGAAAATGTTTTCATCTTACAGTGAGGGTGTTTTATCTGTCCAGTCGCTATCAAATAGCTAAAAAACTGTTTAAACCAAAGGTCTAACACTTCCTCGTGATCTTCAGATGGATCCAAACATCTGTTCTGATGCTGTAACTTTACACAAAACTGCAGCGTGGCTCTTCACTTCTGTTTTATTGACTGGAGAATAAGTTAAAGTTTGTTGGACTCAGAATGGGTCTTGATCCGTGGAGTAAAGCTCCCTCTCTGCTCTCCAGGCCTTGTGAAAGCTCCTCTGAAGAGGTCTCGGTCCACAGTGGACGGTGCAGATGAGGACAGTCAGGAGCAGCTTCAGGAGCAGCTGCTGGAGTCAGGAGGCCCTGAGGAGGAGCAGAAAACTGACAACACGTCACTGCTGCGCCTCCTGGAGGAGGGGGAGAAGGTCAGCAGGGAGCACACGTTTATGAAATGAGATAATCAGAATTATAATTTATGCAGATTGGACTCTGCTGCGGTTTTGTGCTTTATTGTTCCAGTGCGGCACATTTTCTTTGGTCTTTAATTCTAATTGTGCGGGGACAAATAAAACCGACTCTGAGATTCTTCCTCTGTAAACAGAAATATTAAATATAATGGTCTGCGTTTGTCCTATTTTGGCTCTTATTAATTTCAGCCTGCAGCCGTTTCAGCAGTTAAATGCACCATCAAGTGAATTTAATTGAATATAAAGAAAAGTTTAGTTTTTATTAGCTTTACAAATATGGATTTAACTGGAGTTACAGCTGTTAAGTGTCCCGTAACACAAAGCACTTTTTTTTATATATTACAAACTGGGAGCATGCTTGTTTACACAAGTCTTACTATCAGAAGCTTTGCCTTTGAATGCAGTTTTATTTCTCTGTTCCAGATTCAGCACATGTACCGCTGTGCACGGGTTCAGGGTCTGGACACCAGCGAGGGTCTGCTGCTGTTTGGCAAAGAGCACTTCTATGTCATCGACGGCTACACCATGACCGTGTCCAGGGAGATCAGGGACATTGACACGCTGCCGCCCAAGTAGGTCCACACCTTTGCACCTGTCGCCCAGAGAAGTAAATGCTCAGAACGTTTCAGGAGCTGAGCCGACGGGTGCGTCAGTGTCTCTTCTTAAAGGATGACATCACCTCCCTGGACGCTGCAGTGGGAGTTTCTGCTGTTGGGATGATGTCATGATGCTGGTGGAGCATGCTTTGTGAAATTCAGCAAAGCGTTTTGCACGTTTAGCTTTTTAGGACGCTCACTCTGCTTGTTCCTTTGGGACGGGAGTGGAAACACCCCCCACCACCCTAAAAAAGGACAGCAGATGGTAGATTTTTGTCCCGCTCCCTCAGGTTTTCTGTGTCGCTGCAGCCTCCACTCAATTCAAAATGTCTGAGCATTTTTTTTTTACAAAAGCTTTTGTTGTAGTTTGAGATTTTACAAACTTGAATACATTTTCAGCCTTTTATACACGCACGTCTGTTATTTACATGTATAACACATGAAACATGGTTAAATATTCCGTCATCCTTTGTGGAGCTGAATAAAGAGTTTACATGCTGACCTCTGCTAAAACACACACTCTGCCTATAATGAGACTAACCTGGATAAATAAAGGCTAAATGAAAATGAAAAATAATACTGTACTGTAAATAGTCTGCCATTTTCAGTGTTCCAATACATACTGAACATTATTTTTGATATTGTTTATCTTATTTCTTTATATATGGTTTTAACATTTAGGAATGTTTGTGTGAATCTTTTTATCTGTTGCTGCTGTTACACTTGAATTTCCCGTCCATGGGACAATAAAGGCTGTTTCTATTCTAATCTATTTTATTATTTTCTTTTAAATGTGTTTTTCTTCAGTTTGCATGAAGCCATCATCCCCAGAGGAGCACGACAAGGCCAGAGCCAGCTGAAGAGAACCTGCAGCATCTTCGCCTATGAAGACATTAAGGAGGTTCATAAGAGGCGCTACCTGCTGCAGGTCAGCATGCTCGTGCACAAAACACACAAACATACTCAGGCTTCTCTTTTTATTCATTCAAAACCTTTAATTTGTCTTTTTTTTAGCTCTACTTTATTTGGTTGTTTATGCTTTAATATTGCAAAAACTTTTTTTCTGCTCTTCTTTGAAAACCTTTATTTTATTTTCCAAATGGCTCATTCTGCTTTAATTATCAACTGATTGACCAGAAAAGAAGGGTTGATTAAAGTATTTCAGGTTTATCAGGAGTGTTCTGTGGAGAAGAATACTTTAATTCTTCATGCACGTTACAGATTTTTTTGCACACATCAGAATCCAGATAAGGCACTGAAGGAAAGGACAAAAATATTGTTTTATCTCAGTCCTTACCACATGATGCTTCAATTTAAAGACGTTAGAGTACAGAGTAGCACAGATGTTTTAAATCTGAATGTTTCACTCCTGCAGCACTAAACACTGTTTCATGTTTTATTTTTTCCAGCCGATGGCGGTGGAAGTTTTCTCTGCAGATGGAAGGAACTACCTGTTAGCCTTTCAGAAGGGAGTTCGCAATAAAGTTTACCAAAGGTATCAGAGATGAACAGAGCATGGCTTTAAGTTCCTTCTTCTGGTAGCAACTGTGGTAGCTGGAAAATCAAAGAAGCTACAGAAATGACATGTCTGTGAAATTGCGGTGTCACTGCTGAAATTTGCAGAAGTTGAGCTAAAAGAGCTAAAAATCCAAAACCCAAGCCAAAAATAAATGTATCAGAAGACTAGCTAAAATACACAAAAGCTAGCTAAACTCTGCCAAACAGTAGCTTAAAGCCTAAAGCAAAAGACTAGCTTAAAGTTAAAAGTAACAAAAGGCTAACTAAAACAAACCAAAGGGTATGTAGATGGTTAAATTATCAAAAGCTTTCTAAAATATAATATAATATAGCTGTTTTGTTGCTCTTTTTGCCATCTTATTTGTAAAAAACAAATAAATCTGTATGCCTTTTTTATAACTGTTTATTGTTGTCATCATTCTTTGTTGAAATCAGGTCTCTCTTGTAAATGAGTCCTCGAGGCTCAGTGGGATTAACCTGTAGAAATAAAGGTTGAATGAATTGAATGAATGAATGAAAAAAAACAAGGAACAAATGGCTAACTTAAAGCTAACAATGTTAAAAGGCTAGCTTACAGGTAAAAGTAGCAACGGGATATTTAAAAATAGTTCAGGGCTAGCAAAAAGTAGCAGACGGCTATCTTAAAAGAGGAAAAGCCTTTCTAGAAGCTAAAACTAGCAAATGGCCAACTAAAAGCAGAAAGTAGCAAAGGGCTTGCTTAAAGGTAAATGTAGCACAAAGTTAGTTGAAAGTAGCAAAAGGCCAGCTAAAAGCTAAAATTAGCAAAAAGCTAGCTCAAAGTATAGTTAGAAGTAAAAGAATAGAGCCTGTATGCTGAAACATTTTTTTCAAAATGAATGTTTTTGAAGGATATGAAGAGATCTTGATGTGTTCTCTGGTTAGATTTAAAAACAAACGTACATAATCTTTTTTATTTTTCTGTTAACCTAAAATTACTGCAGACTTGTTGGCTGTAAAACCTGTAAGAAGTGTAAAACGGTTTTTGTTGCCGCCTGCAGGTTCTTGGCGGTGGTCCCCTCGCTGGCTGACAGCTCGGAGTCAGTTTCTGGTCAGAGGCCCAACACCAGCGTGGAACAAGGGTAAACGGCTCAGACTCGTCTCTGTGGACTCACGTTATGAATTCTGTGATCACTTCAGATGATTTAAAGCACCTGAAGGTTTTTAACTGCTGGTCACCTTTTAATAACAGCGTTAGATGTTCATTAAGAACGTGTAGGAGGGTTTATTATTTCTAATGTTTTTGCCACAGAATATAGTGAAACAATATAAAGTAACATTTTACGAATAGATAAATAGTTTTAGGAGCTACGGAGCTGCTTTAACGAATACTTTTTTGTTTCTGGGTGTTTGTCAGATCTGGCCTCCTCAGCACTCTCGTTGGTGAGAAGTCCGTAACTCAGAGATGGGAGGTAAAACACCCCCACCGCGTCGTTTAATGAACAGAGCAGCACCTGTGTTGTTTCAGCCTCATGAGACGGTGTTTTCTGTGTTCCAGAGAGGAGAGATCAGCAACTTCCAGTACCTGATGCATCTGAACACGCTGGCCGGGCGCTCCTACAACGATCTGATGCAGTACCCCGTCTTCCCCTGGATTCTGGCCGACTACGACGTAGAGGTGCTTCAGGATTTTATTCTGTTTTATTGTTACTATCAGAACCACAGCGGACACCAAAATAGTTACCGTGACAGCACTGAGGGTTAAATATAAAGATTTATGACGTGTTGTTTTTTGTTGTTTTAATCAGGAATTGGACCTGAACAACCCTAAGACGTTCCGTAACCTCGCCAAGCCGATGGGCGCTCAGACGGACGACCGGCTGACTCAGTACAAGAAAAGGTACAAGGACTGGGAAGACCCCAACGGTAAGAGCTCAGAGAAGAGTCGACTGCCTTCTGTAAACTCTTAGAAGGATTAAAGGCCCACTTTGTACCTGTAAACTAAAGCTGGATGCAAGATGTGCAGCTGAAGTTTGGTAACGCTTCAAACCTGCAACTACAGAATGAAAACAAAAGTATTTAGGACTGTCCTCTCCCAGATTCTTACTCTGTATTAGTCAGAACTTCATCATTGTAAAATACAGGAAAAGTCTAAACCTTTGTGGAATAATGTCTCGTTATACCAGCACATTAATGGTACTCATTACAAACTATCTTTTCATCTGCGTACTTTACTCAGCAAATCTGAGTATAAATACATACCTGTACATCGATACTTCACCCAAACGCCTCTTCCATGTACGTCGCCACTGTTTACAGTTTCTCAGTCACTTCTTCTGTTTCTACAGGAAAACGTAACGTCAAGTTTTTCTTACGTATTTGTAATTTAAGGACACATTAACGACTGAGTTGAGGAAAATATTATGGATTTTGTGTCATACTTTACATTATTTTCCCTGTTTTCCTAACTTTGCAATGAGTAGCTTTTAACTTCTAAACACTAAGATTTGGAGAGTTTGTGTTGAGGAGTAAGTTTTATTTTTTAATGGTGGTAAATATTTTTGCTTTCCGTCCTGCCAGGTGAAACCCCTGCGTATCACTACGGGACCCACTACTCCTCAGCCATGATTGTAGCCTCGTATTTGGTCCGGATGGAGCCCTTCACACATATTTTCCTCCGACTTCAGGTTTGATTCACATTCATTCACTGCAATTTGTTTAGTTTTAGTTGTTTTGTTTTTTGTGTGTGTGGACTGGTCAACAGATTTCTAAGAGGCAGTTTTTGTTCATTTAAAAACCAACGATCAGGAGCAACATTTGTCTTTTGATCATCAGCATGTTAACTTTTCAAGATTAAGTTATTCGTTATTGTGATTTTCAATAATACATTTGCCAAACTTACATGCAATGTACAATGTACAGCAATACTGATATAAACTTTAAGCTAATTATCACAAATACTTAAAATGACTTAAAAATAAGGTATAGATTGAAGAAACCACTTATTTTACTGAACTTTTTTCATTATTCTGCACAAATCCTTTAAACTCTACAGCTACTTAGAACATAAATATGAATAAGATCATCCTAAAACAGAATATTTACACCTCGTTTTTTAATATTTGTTTTTTAATCCCTTTGGAAGCAAAATGTTTTAAGCTGTCAGATGTTTTTTAATGTACTTTTGCTAGAAGAGACATAAAAACAAAACTGAAGATGAGTGATTCTGTCCAGATTATCAGGAAATTATCTGCAATAGTTTTTACTTTTGCTTTTAGCAGATTAAATTAAGTCAGGTTCATTTATGAAGCACGCCAGCGATCAAAGCTTTGGACATAACTAACGGCAAAGAACAAGATGACACAAACGCCAATTAAGTCTAAAGCCTTAGAAATTATTTAAATAAAAGAAAATTGATTTTCTTACATAATTTAAAAACTACAAAATACATATGTCTTTTAAAAAAGATTAAATAAAAAAGGTACCACTTTACAATGAGGCTCCTCTTATAGATGCTAATAAATGGTTTATAGATATGTTATTAATTCATCTATAAACACTTTATAAATCATTAATAACTGCTTATTATCCCTTAATTAAGGGTGACAGAGATAAAATTGATCAGTTTCTTGCCAAATATAATATTTCATCTAGAGTTGTTATATTAAACATTTCAGACTAAGTTACACCTTGTGAGCACAATAAGCATTTTAGGATATAATATTAGTTGTAGATGCGTATAATGCAGTGATAAAGTGCAATATTGTATTCTAAAAAATTTGGTTTACAAATGCTTATTGTGCTCACAAGGTGCACCTTAGTCTGAAATGTTTAATATAACAACTTTAGATGAAATATATAGGTGAGCAGATTTGGATCACTATTTGGCAAGAAACCGATCAGTTTTATCTCTGTCACCCTAACGCATAATAAGCAGTTATTAATGATTTATAAAGTGTTTATAGAGGATTTAATAACGTATCTATAAACTATTTATTATGTAAGGGAGCCTCATTGTAAAGTGGTACCATAGAAAACACTAGTTCCAAAAGACAAATTGCCCGTTGCCCTGCAGTCTCACATTTTAAACAATCAATTTGTGTAATATTTAGCCCTCTGAGTATGTGTTGGACAAGACTCTCAGCTACTACCACACTAACCTTTACTCCAATACGCATGCCCAAGTAATTGCATGATTGCCCGTCGTTGAATGTTATGTGGGATTTTAAAAACGGGTGTTTTAGCCCGCCTAGCGTGCAGGAAGTCTTGTTTTTTCCTCTTTCTCTGACAAAAGTAAGATGAAGAGATGACTTCTACTAACTGAGGATGAAGTTGAAGTTTTTCAGCCCGCTAAGGTCTTCACACACTGATTGTTGTGCTCTGAAATATAAAATCTAATCAAACAGCTCATGTGTTTGTGGTCTGCAGGGCGGTCATTTCGACCTGGCCGACAGGATGTTCCACAGCGTGCGTGAAGCTTGGCTCTCCGCCTCCAAACACAACATGGCTGACGTCAAAGAGCTGATCCCGGAGTTCTTCTATCTGCCCGAGTTCCTGCTGAACTCCAACAACTTCGACCTGGGTCAGTACCTGAGAGCTCGACGGCGGGTAGAAGCGCAGAAATCTAAATTTAACTTCTGTTTCTCCACATACCAGGCGCCAAGCAGAACGGCATCAAGCTGGGCGACGTGATCCTCCCACCCTGGGCCAAGGGTGACCCCCGAGAGTTCATCAGAGTCCACAGAGACGTAGGGGATGAACTCCATGATGGTTACAGTTTGAGTTACAAATACTCCTTAAAGATGACGAGTTTCTGCGCACCTCTTTTCAGGCGCTGGAGTGCGACTACGTGTCCGCCCACCTCCACGAGTGGATCGACCTGATCTTCGGCTACAAGCAACAGGGCCCCCCAGCTGTGGAGGCAGTGAATGTCTTCCACCACCTGTTCTACGAGGGCCAGGTGGACATCTATAACATCAACGACCCGCTCAAAGAGACGGCCACCATCGGCTTCATCAACAACTTCGGTCAAATCCCCAAACAGGTCGACGCCGACTGCCTCTGCCCAGCCAGCTGTTAAAACACAGCAAGCCACGCTCACTGGTCAATTACACTGCTCTGGTTGTCGTTAGACGCTCAAGTCTCTCTGTTACTGTGTGTTTTTCAGCTGTTTAAGAAGCCCCACCCTCCTAAACGTGTTCGCAGCAAAACTAACGGAGACTTGGCGAGTGTTCCTCCGAGCTCCAACAGCGACAAGATCTTCTTCCATCATCTGGACAATCTAAGACCTTCTCTAGCACCCGTTAAAGGTACAACAGATACACTTCAGTGTGAAGGCACGATGAACGCCTAAAGTTTGGATTTTACTTAGAAAGCACAGGTTTGAGTGGGTTTAAAAAGTGAAAAGGAACCCAAACTATTCAGATATGAAGCATTACATTTAGAAAAATTACATTTTAATGCATAAAATAAACATATCCACACCTCAAACATTTATATTATTAGATGGTGACTGCACAGCTTTTTAATGACTGTGGCAGAAAAATGTACAGAAAATTAAAAAAATTTTTAATTTTTCTGTTGAAATATGGACAGACACACACAGAACTGTACCATAAGACATGATTCATAATACTTTCCAATCATGTTTTAATTGTCTTCACACTCTACACATCACATGATAACTCCATGTTCAAACACAGCCCCTTTAGAGACCAGCTCTTACTCATTTCTTTGTTTTCTTCTTTTATCCAGAGCTGAAGGAGCCCGTTGGACAGATCGTGTGCACCGACAAGGGCATCCTTGCTGTGGAGCAAAACAAAGTCCTGGTTCCACCCAGCTGGAGCAAAACATTTGCTTGGGGCTACGCCGACCTCAGCTGCCGTTTGGCCAACTATGAATCTGACAAGGTCGGTGGTGACGTCGACTCAGACTGAGACTTGTTCATAAGCACACCGTCTCGTGTTCGCTGCAGATTGTTTTTAGGTAAAGTGAAGTGCCGCTGTCGTCTCATTGGTTTATATTTTTTGTTTGTTTTGAAAATTGGTAGATTTTTATCTGTATCTAAAATGTCACCTTGAAAACATTTGAGTTAATGAACCAAATGTGAAAGGTGTTGGTTCCCCCTGCTGGTGTTTGATTACCATGCACACTCCTTAAAGACTCAGGGATGCAGCTCAGTGCACTCACATTAAATCTGAAGCAGTTCTCATGAACATCTACATCTGGCATAGCTATCCTAAAGTCTTTATAGTTTGATAATAATCTCATTATGTAGCAAAGTTTTAACTAAGTTTTCCGCAGTACCATGTTAATATTTCTGTCCCCCATAGCGGAGTGAAGAGGGGGAATTAGAAATGCCTTCTGTCCGTGTTGAGAGCATGAGAACTTGGACAAAGAAAGTCAGGATCCATTTGGTGTGTGGCTGCAACTAGGTGTAAGAAAAGTCACCATCAAAGATGAAGTTGCTGCACCAAAATCCAAGATGGCTGCTACTCTCTCTCTCTCTCTCTATATTATATATATATATATATATATATATATATATATATATATATATATATAATGATATAATGCAAAGGAGGAGATGTATGAAGGCAGCAGACCAAGAAGTGATTTAAAGATGAAAACGTTGCTTTCTGCATTTTATAAGTAGTTTCCTCAAAAGCGGGGCTCTGCGCTGCCTCAGACGAGCAAAGTAAATAAAAAATAAAATAAATCTACCTCTGGTCTTCTTTACAGTGTGACTTCTACCCACCTCAATATCTTGATCCAAAAACATCCAGGTTTATTTGTGTTCTTGTTCAGGGTCAAGGTTCTTTAGTGTCATTTGCATCGCATGTGGTGGAACGACACTTTGTACACAATTTCATCTCCGGTCCAGAAAAACTCTCATCTCAAAATCTACAAACACTCAATATTCAAGCCCCTCGACGACAGGCGACATCAGCTGTTCATTACAAAAGAACACTTATCTTCTTGTTTGCCATCCATCAGGATGTGAAGGTGTCTTGAACTTCAGGTATGAGATGAGTTGACATGCTCAGCAGTTACAGTTGTTGTAAACAGATTATAGACCTGCTCAACCTTTGATCTCTTAAGAATTTTTAAAAAAGCTTTAATTGTCACTTCAGACACATTTATTCAGTTCAATATTCATAACGGTGATCTGACGAGCTATTATCTGGGGAAAAGAGAGGTTTTGTGTTATGTTGAGTGAGAGGTAAATGAACCCATCATTGAAGGAGAACAACAGTCTCCTCATCAGGGTTGAGCTGTAATTTATGAACATTAGAAGTCTAAAAGTTAAAGAGACCGTCAGCCATCTTTTCACACCAGTGCGTTTCAAGTCGGGTTGCTATTTTTGACACCAAATGACAAAAGTGTTGACGGCTGGACGCATTTGACGCCCGAAACTGTCCGAACCTTCAGTCCTCAGCTGATCTCTGGTCCTCCGCTTTGTTTCAGGCCTTGGTGGTGTACGAGTGTCTGTCAGAGTGGGGTCAGATCCTCTGCGCCATATGTCCAAACCCCAAGCTCGTCATCACCGGTGGCACCAGCACCGCCATCTGTGTGTGGGAGACGGGAACCTCCAAGGAGAGAGCCAAGTCACTCACGCTCAAACAGGTAAACGCAACAATCTGTCCTCGTTCACACAGTTCAGGTACAAATGGACCCAACGTGCAGGTTTCTGCTCTGTGGGAGGAAACCAGAGTACAGTAGTCCCTCGTTTATCATGGGGGATCCGTACCCTGAAGCCCCGTGATGAGTGAAAAACTGCCAATTAGAGATAGTACAAGTAGTAAGTAGTAGTGTATTTTATTATTTTTATATATATGTGTGTGTGTGTGTGTGTGTGTGTGTGTGTGTGTGTGTGTGTGTGT